GTGGGGGTCTGGATTTGAGAAAAGCCTATAAGCTTCCTTGCGGATGAGAATCAAAGGTTCAGTGGCCCGGAAAGATTTACTGAATGTCAGACAAATATTTGAAGTGATGGGGTGGCGTTGCTTGCCCTGCCTGATTTCAATGTTGTTTCTTTTTCTTCGCTGGTGGGAGAGTGTTAATGAAGCCATGCCAGACAGAGGAGATCAGAGGGGCTGAAAAGATGTGTAACTTGCTATCCACACTTTGCTGCAAACTGTGGGGTGGAGCATCTGTAAGGTGTCTATGGGTCCCTTCCTTTTGGAAAGCGGTGCGCTGGGACCGAAAATTGGCTTTCCCTTTTTAAATGCCCTGGAGATCAGAGAAGACAGGCAGACTGTGTGTACTTGGTGGCAAAGCGCTTGGGGAAAGCCAGGAGTTGTGGGGTGGGTGGTGGTGAAGAAATTCGCAGGACAGAGTGATATTTGGCCAGGCAGACTTAATATGGAGGTGCCTGGGTCAGTTTCACACCCACGTGTCAGTGTGTACACGTGTAAAGTGTGAAGGCTTGCAGGGAGGGAGAGGAAGGAGAAGGAGGGCGACTTGGGAACAATTTTCACTCCCGTGTGAGAAATCGTTAACACAATCCTTCTTCTCTTAAGTAAAAAAACAAAAAACAAAAAAGAGGGGGGAGAGAAAGAGAGAGGAAGTTGAGGAGAGATTTTTATATAACTAGGACACAATCTAGCATATAACACATGCTCCTAAATGCCATTGACCTCCAGGAGAAACGCTTAAAGCCCATATTTAAGGAAGAAACTCTCCTTACCTTTATCTGAGAGCAAATCCCAAGGGAATCTATGATGGGGTCTTTGGTGTAGACATCTGTAGGATCCTACCTTACTCAAAGGTTGCTGGTCATCAAAGGCTGCTGGTCGTCTCCAGAGTTCACTGGAGTTGGGCGGCCAGTAAATTTAAACAATTAAATAAACAAAAGCTTAGCCCCAGAAGTGGAGAGAGTATTCTGAAAGGGTACTATTACAACTGAGTTCAGACTTTTGTGTTTCCCGGAAGTTGGCCATTATGGAACAATATTTTTGAGCAGATACAACTTCATGCTGTATGTATGGTCTGAATCACCAAGACTCTTCCTGGGTTTTATACTGAGTGTAGACTCTTATACATGCCTATTCAAATGTAAGCCTTCCTAACTAGCTCCTACGTTGAGCAGATCAGTCTACCAGAGCAATCCTACATAACATTGGATTACTCAGATACAAGTCCCATCAAGTGCAATGAGATTCACTGTCTGGTAAGCATATTGGATTGCTACCCACAGTTCTTTGGTGGCCATCAGTATTGGTCACCTGCTGCTTTGGGCTAAATGAATTTAGCAGCTCCTTTTAAAGCATTTGGGAGATGTTTTTAAGTGCAGGAAATCCAGTTTAGAAGGTGGAGTCCAGTGTAAGCTCTGAGGAAAATCTCATAGCTCAGTGGTCAAATTCTTGTTTCCATACAAAAGGTCTCAAGGTCCTGGTTCCAAACCTTGGTCTTCCTAGAAGGGAGGGATGAGGGCAATTCTTATTGGAAACATTCAAACCTTCTTCTACCTATGTTAGAAGGGGCATTCCTTTAAATGTGTTGCTGTGTAATAGTTGGGAATCAGAAACTCTTGGTGACTGATTGAAAATTACCTAGAAATCAACCAGGAGATTTTGACCTATTTCTATCCTCATGTAGATCAAACTGGATTAGAAAGACTAATGTTTCAACATTTTTCCAGACTGGCATTAGCTAAAGACTTTTCTATGTTGCTATTTAAATGGTCTTTTTATTTAGAACAATAGGGACTGGAAACTTACTTTTTTCTTGAGTAGAAGAGCTGCTGCCAATTGGCATATAGACAACAGTGAACACAATAGACCTCAAATATAATATAAAATAGCTTCCCTTTGTTTGGAACATGGAAGCCTGGTTCACAATAATGGTGCATGTGGTTAATTCATTGCGGGTGAACCAGGTTCCTATGAAAAGATCCTGATTTAACATTATGGGTGAGCACAGCCAAAGTTTGCGGCCAGCTTCCTACTGAAAACCAATTTACTTGGAAGTTAGTGCCACGGATTTCAACAAGAGAGAATTGAGAAAGCACCCAAACTCTCTGAGTGATATCAGCAGGATTTCAAAAGATGGACACCCCTTTCTTCTGACATTGGGTAATGCTCAATCTAGCAGAAGTTTCCAATCATCCAGACTGCATCAGATGTAACCGTTAAAAAGGACAGTCTTGTTTTACTCTATTAGATGAACAAATTCACAATCTTCGGTTAACTAGGGCCCATCCGCAAAAGCCTATGCCATAATACGCTTGTTCATCTCTTCATATGTTCAAGACTCTGTTATTATATAGCAGCATATTATTTAGCGCGGTCCCCCCCAAGTTCACTAGGCCACATCCCTGGATTTGCGCCCACGCGGCTAGGAATTCAGTACTTTGAACCCTAAATATCTAAGGCAACAGTTGGGGGAATGCAGTAAATTCCCCACGCTGGCTGGGGAATTGTGGGAGTTGAAGTCCACCCATCTTAAAGTTGCTGAGGTTGAGGAACCCTGCAGTAATATGAATCTTTTCTACTATCTGGAAAATGTGTAGTGATGTACTTTGATGTTAACTTTACAAGATATGTAATATAGTATATACAGCTTTAAAGCCTCACATATAGTATATCTTTGCACGGTAGGATGCTATTTTTGCAACTGCCCTTGAATTTTTCTTCTCCTCCAATTGCATGTTTATGCATGCAACTTGGGAGAGCAAGACAACTTGATTTCCTCCTGGTGTTTTGGATTATAATTTCCAGACTCTCTTGCCATTCGCTAGGTTGGTCAGGGTGAGGATGATGGGAGTTTGAATCCAAGAGGTTTGGAGGCCACCCAGTTGCATGCCCTTACCTAGGGGAAGAAAGAGTCTGGCTATGTTCTTGCTGGACGTTAAAACCGAGACCTTTGCATGTTAATTCATGTTGAGCCAGGAGAAAAAAAGTAACACTGTGTATGAGGAAACAAAGACTGATGTAAAGATCATAGTGAACAATGAAGATATTTAAGAACTGTGCAATTGTGTATGTGCTTGCTCACAAGCCCTGCCTAGACTAAACTTTTTCAATCAGCTACTGGACTTTTAGGAGTTATAATCCCAAAATATCCAGCCCAGCATATACTAGCATGGAATTCTAGTAGCTCTAATTCAACATCTGGAAATATTCTGGTGAGAGAAAACAAGTTTAGAAATTTTCTCCCTAGTAGTTATGATTGCATTTGCCCATTGCACTAGACCTGCATTTCCTGGTTTGCTTGATTTTGGCTTAACAGGAGGCATCAACCAACCTTTGTGATCCCCAAATCATAATAGAAGGCCTAATGTGTGATACAAAACCAGTTCATGGTGGTTTATTTCAACAAACCATGGTTTTTTAAACTACGACCTCACATTGTATATGAACATAGTCACTAAGGAAGATGGCAGACAATACATGCATTTGAACCCCTCCACCAATAAGAGTCCACTGGATTGAAGTGGTAGATAAATCCCATCAATTATTCAAATCAATCAATCCAACAGAAACATTAGCTCAAAATCTCAGCTGAGAGAAACTCTCAGTCACCAAGAGAATAAGGTAGACACACGGAAGCTGCTGTTTTCGTAAGATTTCAGCACACCATTACTAACACCATGTGATGTCTTCCCTCTTGAAGCTGAAAGCAAGGAGAAGGAAAGGATTTGGCTCTGGAAAGTGCAAATGTTTGTTCAAAGCTGCAATATCGTTGCTAAAGAGACACTCAAGCAGTCTGATTCTTAGCAAGAGAGCCACAAATGATTTTATTTATTTATTATTAAATGTATATGACTCCCATCTCCCCCAGAGGGTGACTCTGGGCAGCTTACAATGACCAAGGCTAAATAAAACCTTTCCCCAATCTGGTGCTTTCCAGCCCTGCTGGCCTTTATCTCCCAGAATTCCCCACCCAGCAAAGTTGTCCCAGCCCATCTGCAGAGGACCAGGATGAGAATGGCTGGGATGTCATAGAATCACAGAGTTGCAAGTGACCTAAGATATCATCGAGTCCAACCCTCTGCACACTGCAGAATTCACTACACCATCCTTGATAGATGACAGTCCATCTTCTGTTTGAAAACCTCCAGTGAACTGGGGGGAGAAAACACTCTACTGGCTGACAGCTCTTGCTGTCAAGAAGTTCTTCCCAATGTCTCATCCACGTCTACATTCTTGAAGTTTCATCCCATGAGTTCTAGTTCTACCCTCTGGAGCATCTTTCTTCTCATGTAGGTGGTGGCTCAGTTTGTAGGATGCTCTAGAGCAGTGTTTCTCAACCTTGGCAACTTTAAGAGGTGTGGACTTCAACACCCAGAATTCCTCAGACAGCTTGCTGACTGGGGAATTCTGGGAGTTGAAGTCCACACCTTTTAAAGTTGCCAAGGTTGAGAAACACTGCTCTAGAGAACAGAGAACAAGGCAGAGTCGTATAAAATACATGGGGACAAAACAGATGAGGAAAATGCTTCTCCCATTCCCTTATGATATTGCAAGTTGAGATTTGTTTGATCAAAGATCAGTTTAAAATCATTTATGGAACCTGATGCCACAGGATATGATGACAAGGGTTAGGGTTAGGGTTAGGGTTTCAAAGGGGGCTACAGACTTGGCAGAGAGAGATTCAAGGCAGTCCAAGCATGAGGTTTATCC